CAGACACATACACACAATTGAATGTCATTTTAATTTGGCAAACATTTGTTTTTTGTGCCCCAGAGTGCAATACACTCTAGTATTAAAAACCACTTTTTAAACATAATTTTTTATTTGTTTATTAACATAAAAACGAGTTAAATGTTAACTACTACTATTATTCATGAATTTTAATTTATGAATTTACTTTCCATCATTTATAATATAATACACTGTATGTATAACTAACACAAAGTATTAAAGTATTTGAAGTATTTTTGGGTAATTAATTAAATGTGTGCTAACTTATCGCAAGTTAATCAGCTATTTATACCCCGCAAATTAATCAAATTTACGCATGAATTTCAAATTAAATACTACATTAATTTTAAAAAATAATAAGCATACCTTATCAATAATACATTGTAGTAATTTACCCTAATAAGTTTTAAATAATTAATCTTATATTTTATTCCTACTTCCATAGTAACTCCCAAAATAACAAACCTCTTAATCTGTTTTATTTTAATTTAAAAATAATAAATAATAAAAACTTAATTAAGTAGATAGCATAAGATTGATAGTAGAAAAATTTACGCAAAAAGTAGTGCTACCTTAAGAAATTGTAAAATTACACTTTTAATTAACCAAGTTTGCATAATTTTTGTAATTAATTGCACCTCAAAATGCTCATCACTTTACTCACATTTCTAACGTTTAGGTGATTATCTAAAATTATATTTCATAATAATTATTAACAATTATAAGTACCCTCAGAAATTAGATAACCCACCAATTAATACACTAATAGCATATTACCAATTAATATGTATATACGGTGTACTATAAATTAAGCTTTTAAGTGTTGATTAGATTGATTGGTATAGCTGATTATTTTGCAAATTACCAAAAAAAATTATTAAATTTATTTGCGAGCAGACTTAATAGTTGAATAAGGTGCCAGCAAATATAAAATAAAAATAACACTGTATATCATTATTACTACCAGTAATAGCAAGGAGACAAATATAATTTAAAGTTCACAACTGTTTACAATAAGATACTCAAAAATTGTTTTTCAATACCAACCGGCAATTTAAATCGTATCCATAATAAAGTGACTTTCATATAACAGTGCTATTTATATTCACCGGTATGCCATTAACCAAACAAACAATAAACTAATAAAACTCTCGAAAACTTTAATAAAATGAGACAAATATTGAGACATGATTTTATTCATAATACATCATTCATAATAATAATTTAATTAAACAAAATTCCTTATGACTGTGTGTTTCGCAAATATATATAAATCAAATCATTTATATAAATAAACAGAAAGCAAAAACATAAAAATTTCATTTTAATAACTAAACAAAAATTCGTTATCCATAATCGGAAGTGAACTCAACATAACATGAGTTATGGTATATATAATTAACTATAAGATAATCGGAAAAGACGTCTAAACAGTGGCTACCGATGAGAGAGAGAGAGAGAGAGAGAGAGAGAGAGAAATCGCGACTAAAAGTCATCCAAAAAAGACATTATAAAAATACACTTTTCATTTGATTATTACATAAAAATAATTGCTATTTTAAAACAATAACAACTATTCGTAAGGCAAACACACAAAACATGACTTTTTGATGACTGGCTTTTGGACGTCTCGATTGTATTTCAATTCAACACTTTTTATTGCATGTAATTAAGTAATAAAAGGCATTTCAATGGATGGCCTCTAGTGTCTAATCTCCTAACGCTTCCCTTTGATTTGCTTTCGCTTCTCCAGAAGCCTATTATTACTGGTGTCGAGGTTCTTGAGCGTCATTTGGTCCTCGAAGTCCACTCGCATTGTCCGCAACGCCTGCGTCATCTCCTCCTGCACTTCGGGCCACTGTTCCTGATCTTCGCGCAGCACTCGCACGGAATGGAGGGGTGTTTGCGGCACTTCGGCGTAACGCTGAATATGGGAAATACCAGACAAAAACATTAGATTTATTAGTCGATACACTAAATCACATAAATGTCAGACAAAATATTTTCGCACACAATTCAATGGCAATTCACATCTACAGTAAACTAAATAACGACTGTAAACACACAGCGAGAGAACAAGGAGTCTGACTCTCTCTCTCTCGACATGTATTGCAATCGTAAATCACTTTTTCTTTTTCAATCGCGTAAACAATAATTATATGTTTAGCTAATTGTCACTGAAATAGATGTGTGTAAAAGTGATTTAACAGCTATGATGGCAATCAAATCGACAAATACTTACAGCAATCCAATTGTGTTTCATAACGAGTTCTATGGTTAGTCTCTGAGACGGATCTGTCTTTAGTAATCCTTTTATCAGATCTTTAGCTGCAATCAAACCAATTATACGATTAGAAAAAAGATCGCAAAACACACACAAAACTCATTAAAATACTGACCATCTCTTGAGACGTGCCGCCACTCGGGGTCGGGAAAGTCATACTGACCCGCTCTGATCCGTTTCTTCATACCCGGCGATATGGCTAACCCGTGATTGCTATAAAACGGTGGATATCCGCACAACAGGATATACATTATGACACCCAACGACCATAAATCGCTAAATCCATTGCAAACACACAATAAAAACAATTAATTTCTCGCAATACAAATACACCACTCATTCATTACCAGCTCTTATCATATTTTTCAGGTCCCAAAACCTCCGGCGCCACGTAGTATGGCGTATAGCACGGCGTCTGTAGTGATAACGTATTGGACGTCTCTTTCGCGAAACCAAAATCAGTTAATTTCAAAACACCTAAACTATCGCTCCGTGTGTACAACAGGTTCTCCGGTTTCACGTCCCGGTGCGCGATGTCCATCGAGTGCAGGTATTGTATGGCTGCACATATATCGTGCATAACCTCCGCGGCCTCCCGTTCCGTGAATGCGTTCTCAGCTCTGTCTTGGATCCGTTGGAACAGCTCTCCGCCTTCCATACTATCAACAAAAACCACATTAATATCCATTATATCAACTCAATTCAGTCATTATCTACCACTCCATGACCACCAGTAGGCACTTGTGGCCGCCATAAGCGTTCTCATAGACGTCCACTATATTGACGATGTGTTTGCAACCGCTGGCCCTCCAGTGCAGCTCAACCTCGCGTCGAGCTTTCGTTGAATCCCTTAAAACCTACAGAAAAAGTGTAT